AACAACAACAACAGTTTTTATTTAGTGCTCCATATGGGCTGAGCACTCTATTGCCTTGGGGAGAGAGCAGTATGCAATGTAAGTCATACCTGCCCTTATTGAGCTTACACTGTTTATGCCATTATAGGTATTAAACAAATACTTATAAATGTGTGCAATAAAAGAAAATAACAACGGACTTGAGATTATACAAGAAGTTGCTATGGAGTCAACTCTTCTCGATATGTCCCAGTACAACTGTGCTCCCTACAGTTTTCAGCTGTTGAGATTTTGAAAGGACATTTCCAGAGCTTTTTTTTCCTGAGGCTCTTTTGAGCAAACTAGACTCTCTAAGGTTTTGATTAGATCCTGAGCATGTTAACCTAGCCTAAGTCATCAGGGACAGTTTTCTGAAGACATGGTCTCCAAGATATAACTTGAGATGAGGAGAAGTTAGGGATGGGAAGAGGAAAGTGAAACAGCCTTTAGAACAGAGGGCAACCCATGCTCCAGTGAGCAAAGCCCCTGGGGACTTTGGGACCTGGAAAGATGCCAGGATTACTGTTGGAAGCCAGAGCAAGTGGGAGCAAGTGGTACTTCAGGGAGATTCTTGCGATACATTGAGAAAAACCCAGTAGGCTGTTTTGGACTAGGTTAAGGAATAATTAACCATGTAAATCTTCTGGCGTCTGTCCTTGGCTTTTTTGTCTTGTCTTTTCTTGCATCTCCATTGTTTTGTCTTTTGGCTTGAGCTTTCCTGTCTAAATGCTATTTGAGAGGCAGCATGAAGACTTAGCTCCCAGATCCAAGTTTTATAGGAGCTTCACAGCTTCAGTGACACATTCATGAAGAAAATATGTTTAAAGATTTATTACCAGCCAAATACAAATACCAATCCCATTCTTCAATGAGATAGAAAAGGCAATCTCCAGTTTCATTTGGAATGGAAAGAAGCCCCAAATAAGCAAAGCACTTCTTAAAAATAGAAGAAAAGTAGGAGGTATCTCACTCCCTGATTTCAAATCCTACTACACTGCCATGGTGGTAAAGAAAGCATGGTACTGGTACAATGACAGACATGTAGATCAATGGAATAGAATTGAGAACCTAGAGATCAGCCCATCTATCTATGGCCAACTGATTTTTGACAAGGAGATGAAATCAATTAAGTGGCAAAACGACAGCCTTTTTAACAAATGGTGTTGGCAAAATTGGAAAAATATCTGCAAAAGACTTAAGCAAGATCCACACCTCACTCCATATTAAAAAACCAACTCAAGGTGGATCATGGACCTAGGACTAAAATTGAGGACTTTAAATTTCATTTTAAAAAAGCTAGGAACAATGCTAGAAGTCCTAGTCACAACATAAACAGTCTTCCAAGTATCCTGAAAAACCTACAACCAGGAGAAGATAAAAGATGAATGGGATCTTCTAAGAATCAAATCCCTATGCACATCCAAAAACTTCTCCAACAGGGTAAAAAGAGAAGCCACTGACTGGGAAAAAGTATTTGGTAATGACATATCAGATAAGGGACTTATATCCAGAATTTATAAAATACTTAAGCACCACAACAAGATAAAGGTAAATAATCCAATAGAAAAATAGGCACAGGATAAGAACAGACACTTCACCGAAGGAGACATTTAGATGGCTAACAAGCACATGAGGAAAGGTCAAAATCCCTAGCTCCAAGAGAGATGCAAATTAAAACAACTATGAGATATCATCTCACCCCAGTTAGAATAGCAAAATTTAACAGAACAGCAAGCAACAAATGCTGGTGATGTTATGGAGAAAGTGGAACTGTTGGAGGAGTGTAAAATGGTGCAACCACTGTGGAAGGTGGTATGGCGCTCTGTCAAAAAAATTGCAAATAGAGATACCATTTGACCCAGCAATTCCACTACTGGGAATATACCTCAAAGAGATCATAACTGACATTCGAGCAGATATATGCACACTGATGTTTATTGCAGCTTTGTTCACAATAGCAAGAAGTTGGAAACAACCCAAGTGCCATCAACAAATGAATGGATAGAGAAGCTGTGGTATATTCATACAATGGAATATTATGCTGCATTGAAAAAGAAGGAACTCATGCAATATTATTCAAAATGGGTGACCCTGGAGGACATTATGCTGAGTGAAATATCTCAGTCACAAAAGGACAAATACTGCATGGTGACACTGTTGTAAAACAGGACTGACTTTGGGGTTGGGGAGAGATGAAGAAAGATGGCTTCAATAGTGTATACTGCACTGAAACAGATGAGGGAGAAAACTGTTTAAAAGGGATATGTAATTAGGTATTTTTGTCATGCCAGGAATCCAGAGCGAAGGCTACATGGTGGAGTGGACTTGGGGGAGGGTTTGTAAAACAATGAAAGAGTTTTACTTTTCCAAGAGGGTAGTGTACTAGGGGGGAGGGTTGGGAGGGGAGAAAAGTGCAACAATGAATGAATGGGAGTCCAAAGTCTCTGTAAATTTTTACTGAAATGAATAATAAATTTAAATTAAAAAAAAAGAAAAAGAAAAAGAAAAAAAATTATTACCAGCAAGTAAACACTACCCTTACCATACTTAGGCAGAGCATCAACAACCCAGTTAACTGGCCGAGGATGCATTTAGTACTTCTGTTTTGCTTCCCAGTTCTTGCATAGTGTGGCCATCTAAAGCACACTGTTTGGTCCCTATATGTCTGAAGCAACTTAGGGAGGAGCGTCAGAAGTAGAAGGAAGATATAAAATGTTAGCTGATTGCCACGAGGGACACCTGCGTTCTTTGCCATGAGACCAGATCTGGATGGTGCCTGGCAATCATTCAAGAGCATTTTGATTAAGGATTCTATACAAGCATCCTGATAAAAAAGAAGGGCGATGCAGAACAAAATTTCAAATTCTCTTAGACTTTGTGCTATCTGGAGCCATGAAGGTTAAATGAATCCCTAATATTACTATTGTTGTTGTTTTAAGTGCCGTTGAGTCGCAGGCGACTCATAGCGACCCAATGAAGGAGAGTCCTCGATGCTTGGGTGCCTTTCATCCTCTCTCCAGGTTCATAGGGTTTCCGGAAGCAAGCTATCATGGAAGTGGATGCCACTCCTGCTTCCAAGCTTGTTTTAATCGGGGAGCTCCACCCCACTCTCTGTCCTCATTGGAATATTACTGTACCAAAAAAAATATTTAGGCCTTAAACAAAAAATATTACCTGAAATCTTCCTAAAATCAAACTAGAGTTTAGTTTAATTAGTAAAAGAGTCAATCTTGAGCATAATACGTTTTAAAAATCTATCTTATGTGGGACCAAATTGACAACAGCAACTTAAAACACTAGATAGAAACCTAGAGGTTATTTGTGGATCCAGACAAGATAAAATCGTTGACTTTAACCTTTTGTCTGTTAATCATGATGATGCCTATTGCCCCAGTGGTGAGGATTTTGTTTTCTTCATATTGAAATCGAGTCCATATTCACGTCTGTAGCCTTTAGCCTTCGGCAGCAGATGTTTCAAATCCTCTTAACTTTCTGAAAGCAAGGTTGTGTGATTTTCATCTGTATAACTAAGGCTGTTAATGATTTTTCCTCAATCCTTACGCCACATTCCTCGTCATGAAGTCCAATTTCTCGAATTATTTGCTCAGCATACAGATTGTTGATAAAGAAAGGAAAAAAAAATAAAATCTTGCCACACATCTTTCTTGATTTTAAACCATGCAGTGTTGGTTTCTTTGCTCTTTCTGGACAACAGCTTTGTCTAGGTATAAGTTTCAAACGAGCACAACTAAGTGTTCTGGGATTCTCAGTCTACTTAATGTTAGCTACAATTTATTATGATCCACATAGCCAAATATCTTTGAATAGTCAATAAAATGCAAACAAACATTCTCTACTCTCAGTCAAGAACCATCTGACATTCACAACGATACTCCTGGTGCCATGGCCTCTTTTAACTCCACCTGGACTTCTTACAATTCTCTGTCAATGTACTGTCCTAGCCATTTTTGGGGTAATCTTCAGCAAGCTTTTACTTGCAGGTGATATCAAGGATATTGTTCGATGATTTCCACTTTCTTTTGGATCAGTTTTCTTGGGATTAGAAACAAATAAGTCTCTCTTCCAGTTGGTTGTCCAGGTAGTTGTCTTCCAAGTTTCCTGGCACAAACTGGTGAGCACATCCAGGGCTGCACTTGTTTGTTACATCACGTTTGGACTGAAAGGAACAGCCACAGTCAGATCAGTGCTGTCAAGTGGAAATATGGAGCGAGAACTACACACATAAGGCAAAGTACATGGGACACTTTCATTCTGTCCTGTCGGGTCATGCTTTAAGTTGGAATCTACTTGATGCCAAGGGGTTTTTGAATTTTAACTAAGGGTTAGGGACTTGAATCCATCTGGCAGCATTGCACAAGGAAGATGTGCTTACCTACTTTAAGAAGCCCATGGGGCAGCTGTACTCTGTAACATGCTGGAACTCTCTGAACTGGAACTTACTTGCTAGAAACAGGTTGATAGTACAAATATAAAGAGCAAGAAGTGAGGTTAATTTAAAGAATTTCTTTTAGGGAGCTTCAGGTGGCAAGAAGCTGTGTTGTAATCCTGAAGGCATGATTCAAATCCACCAGATGCTCCGCTGGAGAAGGAGGGGCAATCTCCTCTTGTGCCAGTTGGATCTGACTCAACGGTACACAAAAAGAAGAAGAAAAAAAAATTTTTTTTAACTTATAAAAAATATTGTATCCACATGTAATAACTGTAAAAAGTTATATTTTATGGGATTTTCCCTCCTGACTCTTTGAAATTTAGTGTGTATATTTTACTTGCTACATATTTTAATTGAGAGTAGCCACATTCCAAGAGCTCGATAGCTCTTGTAGCCAGTATCTACCAAAACAGACATTGAAAATACAGATCAAATAGTTTTTGGTTTTTTTTGCAGGGAGTGGAAAGTTAAGGGACCTATGCAAGGTAGCACAAATTATGCAAGTGGTCCCTGACTTAAAATGTATTTCCGGTATGATGAACTTCACAACTGTCTGTAAAGAGCTGAAGTCAGTGTCTGGTTTTAAGACATGTAAAGACAGAATTACTCAGCTGCCTGGAGAAAATGCTGCTGGATTGAAATAAGAATCTTTTTTGACCACTATTTGGAAAACACATTATGTTAAAAAACAATGACATAGAGAAGCTGCTGGTCTACAATATATATAATTCTGAGGTCTAGATGATAATTATGTTACTAGAAGACTGGTTTTTAACTTGTTTCAGTCTAAAAATGTGCATTCTATTGACTTTACCAAGAGCATCACCGTTAAGATTCTGCAGCAACGGGGTGATGCTCTCGGACGTCTTCACGAAGGTGATATAAATTAAGTCATGAAAGTGGTCTCTCCCAGTATTATGGCAGCTGTGCTTCAGCCCATGAAGCAAAGTGCAACTGCCGTTTTCAAAGCATGCTATCGCTGGGCTATACTCACTCAGGCAATAGCTAGAGTAGATGGATGTGTGGTAACATGATGTGGTTTCTAGAAGAATTTAACATTCTTCAGTGTTTCTCAAATCTTGTGCCTTTCTGGGAAGGAACTATGGAAAAATACATGCAGGAGATTAAAAAAAAGAAAAAAAGAAAAAGATGAGTCATGTGAATGCTCCAAACATTTGATCAGGACAGTAGGATGAAAGGGATGTAGTCTTGTGGTGTAACTGCACTGTTAACCCAAAGGCTGCCCCTCACTAGTGCTTTGAATCCACGAGTGGCTCCATGGGAGAAGGATGAGTGATCTCCTTCCACATAATTTATAGCTTCTTGGAAACCTAGGGGAGAATCAGCTATGAGTAGGTTCTGACTTGATGGCTATGAGTGTGAGGTTTTGTTGGTTGGATTTTATTTGTTTTCAGAATGGAAAATATTGGTGGGAAAACTTCATATTACAATGCTGAATTTATTTATTACTTTAACATGATTGATATGAAATTATGTAGAACACAAAGGGGAGGAATCAACAGACCAGAATTTGGGGAACTTTGCAATATAAAGGAACACTGAAGATAAAGAAATAGAGTGAGAAAACAGAAGAGTTAGTAAGAAATTTTATAGAAAGCATTGTTGTTGTTATATGCCGTCAGCAACCCTAAACTCTGCTCTATCCTGTGTCAATCTCATTGTCTCCGTCACACCTACCCTTATTACCCAATCACTGAATCAATCCATCTCATCGAAGGTGTTGCTCTCCTGCGCTGTCCCTCCACCCTTCCAAGCATGACGCCCCTCTCCAAACACTGGCCCCTCCTTGTGACATATCAGAAGTATATCAGACGAACCTCCAAGGAGCAGCGTGGCTTCACCCTCTCCAGGACAAACCTGTTTGTTCTCCTAGCAGTCCATGATATATTCAACACTCTTCTCCAACACCACAGCTCAAAGGCATCAATTCTCCTTCTGTCACCCCTAGTCATTGTCCAGCTTTCTGATGCATAGCAAGTGATTGCAAAGACCATGCATTAACTGATTTTTTCCCCCTTAAATGAAACCAAGGACTTCAATTTCTTAAAAATATGAACCCAAATCTTGCTTAAAAATATGAACCCAAATCTTGCTTGCTTTGCAGATTTGGCAGATTTGGGGAAGCAATGAGACATTATTACAAATACAGGAAGAATAAAAAATAAAAGAACCACACAGACAACTTTCACTAATTTTCTGACTACAAACACTAGCCTGCTTTTCAGGAATACTCCAGATGCTCCAGAACCTTCTACGAGGAGAGTTACCCCTGTAGCTGACAAAATGTCAAAGTTATCCAACTTTTGTCCATAGTTGGAATACATTTTTATGACTTGCCTATTTAAATGTGTGTGTGTGTGTATATATATATATATAT